CGTCAAGCTAAATGACGGTTCCGTAAAAAAAAAAACTTTGCTATCCACAATCACTGACCGAAACATACTACAATAATCCTTACACTAAAAGCGCATTATTACTTCTTTTCTTTTTATGTGCCGTGTCCTGTCAGGACATTGGCGATCATGGATCTCCACCTCTTCCTCTATTCCTTGCAGCTCTTTACAAGTTCCTTCCCTCTCCTATTTCGCCCAGAACACATTCTGTCATCGACCTGATCAAGCTCGCCAGAAGGGTGAAATCATCTTGCAATAAGTTGGAAATATATATATATATATATATATATATATATATATATATAATGGACAAAGTCCGACAATTATTTTAAGACATTTTTATGTTCATAAATTCTTTTTATAGATACAAATATTTAAGTAAATGCTCTGTTTATAATAAACAGTATTAAACAACATTTACCGGCCTGAATATCCGAGAAATTTTCATCGAAAATATTCGTCCTCCGACAGGATTCACACGCTGTTTGTCCCTTGCCTCGCTTTCAGTCTATTCGACTCGTGACTATTAGATTCCCCAGGCCCTCTTTCTTCATTATGCGTCTCAGAATCATCAGCTGTCTCTTCCTGATATTAAGTATGATCCTCCTTGTTCGCATCCTCTCTAAGACCTCATCGTTGCTCACACGCTCTGTTCATGGTACCCTTAGCATACTTCTGTACAACCACATCGCCGTTGCCTCAAGTCTCTTCTCCATCCTTGAGGAAATCCTCCAACATTCGCTGTCGTAAAGAAGAACAGATGGCACGTAACAGCTTAGTATCCTTTTCTTTGTTAGCAAGGAGATCCTCCTGTCTCACAATACTCTGCTCAGCTTTTGTTTATGCGTCCTTGCCCATCCCAACGCGTCTACAGTTCTCGGCGTCGCATTTACCGTCCTCTGTCTAAACGCTTCCCAGATATTTAAACTTCCGCGTCTGCTTGATTCTAGTGTTCTCGACCTGCAAACAATATCTCGGGCTCATCGTCTTACTGATGACCATTCATTCTGTCTTCTTGTAGTTTATGCTTAGTCCTTTCTTCTCACTCTCCGTCGCTTACTTTTAACGCGTTATTTGCCCACTAAATCTTTGTCTTTTCCGCCAACTTAAAATCCTCCCTAGCTCACGTATTTTTCTGATTCTGTTGCTCCAACACATTCTTTGCCTTTCCATTTTTGTCTTGTCCTTATTCTTTCCTTCTAACCCTAACCCTCTGCTTCCTCCACCAGACCGTGTTCTGTCATCCACTTGTTTAAGCATGCCAGGTATGTCACGCGTTGTTTTCACTTGTCTTTCTTTCCCTCTATTCGATCCGTGAGTGTCAGATTCTCCAGGCTCTTCTTCCTTATTATATGTCCCAGAAGCTTCAGCTGCCTCTTCCTGATATTAAGTATAAGCCTCCTCTTTGATTGCAACCTCTCTAACATCTCGTCGTTGCTGAAACACTCAGTCTATGAAATCCTTAGCATCCTTCTGTAGAACCACTTCTTTGTCGGCTTGAGTCTCTTCTTCATCTTTGAGGTAACCATCCAATATTCGCTGCCGTAAAGAAGGACAGATACCACGTAACAGCTCAGTATTCTTTTCATGTTATCAAATAAATCCTCCTGTCTCGCAGTACTCTGCCCAGCTTTTGGAATGTGTACTTGGCCATTCAAATACGCGTAGGGATCTCGGTGTTGCATTTACCGACCTCTGTCAAGATGCTTCTCAGGTATTTAAACTTCCGCGTCTGCTTGATTCTAGTGTCCTCGATCGGCAAACCGCATTTCAGGCTCATCGTCTTACTGATGACCATGCATTCCGTCTTCTGTAGTTTATGTTTAGTCCCTTCTCATTTTCCGTCGCTATCTTCTGCAAGAGATTTTGTAATTTCTTTTCCGTGTCTGCTATCAGTACTGTGTCATCTGCCTATCTTATGTTGTTAAGATTGTGACCGCCAACGCATTCTTACATACCATTCTTATCACATTCACCATAACACCTTAGAATCTCCATTAACTAGACTCCATATGTACAATGTGTATTCACAAATATGGACAAAAATATTTACAAGAAACTAAATAAAATAGCATATCGAATATTTCATCCGATCAATTATCGTGAAATTATTTATAGAAAAGGCAACGTTGGTATGAACGTAACTAAAGCCGAAACGCCAGATCAGGGCCAATAATATTACCGATTCTTCTTTGGATTTTATCACATATATATATATATATATATATATATATATATATATATATATATATTATAAATTAATTGATTTAAAATATGTTTTTTCCGCTACACAGGTCTAACCATGTTTCAAAAATGGAAGCTAAAAGCCCTGAATTTAATTTTGTAATTAAATTAAAGACATTAGTTCCATTTCATCCTCAAGCGAATTTTAATGCTCTGTAAATTTACATCGAGCACTATTTTGTAAAAATAAAAATATCTGTAAGAACACCGGATTATATATCTTACTGTTCTTTGTTTTTATTCATATATATATATATATATATATATTATGAAAAGTATAACATAAATATGTTATAAAATCTCTACAAATATAGCCATTTTGTTTCAACACTTCTGGTGTCTTATCAAGTGATGATGTTGAATCAACATTATCACTTGATAAGACACGAGAAGTGTTGAAACAAAATGGCTATTTTTAGTCATTTTATAACTTATTTATGTTATAATTTTCGAATAAATAATTGTATTTGCTCTACTCTGTTTTGAGCACTCTTTTAAGAATAGTACTTGTCGCTTTTTGGAATTTATTCCGTATACAACCATCCTATTTTGGGGCATATATAGCAGAAAAGGGTAATTTCAAAAACAGTTACTCCTACATCTATTAACGTATTGTTCTTCAACTAAGAATTGAGCTCTCCTAGCTACTGGCATATTTCGTATAGAAAACGTTAAAATTTTCCCATCTATCTGCCGTGCACCGATAGCCTAGGGGTAGGATTCCGGCTTGAAGCAATCAAACGACTCGTCACACTGAAGAGCTGTGATATAGCGAAACAGTCTGTCTATGGATGAGTATATATATGCTCTCGAGGAATCCGATAATTTTAAAAGCAGGGGCTTATCCCGCTATTAACGCATTAGTTTGGATCCCGGCTTGAAGTAATTTGACGTCTAGCCTCACTAAAGAGCTGTGATACAGCGAAATATTCTGTCTGTGGATGAGTACATATGTACTCTCCGTTGAGCTCTCGGCAGAAGCGGGTAATTTAAAAAAAAACAGTGACTCCTACTGCTATTAAAGCATTGATTTCGTCCCCGGCTTTAAGCAATCAGATGTCTAGCCACCCTGAAGAGCTGTGATACAGTGAAAGAATCTCTGTTGCTGGCAATATATATGCCCTCGGTTGAGATCTCTGGAGAAGAGGGTAATTTTAAAAACAGTAGCTCCTACTGCTATTAACGCATTGCTCTTCAACTATGAATTGAGCTCTCCTGGCTAATGATGTATTTCGTATAGAAAACGTTAAAATGTCCCTTCTTCTTTGACGTTCCACCTATGGTCGAACGTCAAAGGGGTAGGATCCCTGACTGATGACAAATTGGCCTGTTTTCGATCCGGGCTTGAAGCAATCGCACGTCTAGCCACACTGAAGCGCTGTGATACAGCGAAACAATATATCTGTGCATGACTCTCTCTCTCTCTCTCTCTCTCTCTCTCTCTCTCTGTGCTTTCAGGGAATCCATTTGAGCACTCTGGAGAAGGGGGTAATTTAAAAAGCAGTGGTTCCTACTTCTATCCCTTTCTGTCTGCCGTGCGACGATAACTTATTCTGAAGAGAGCTCAACAGAATGACAAATCCCGACTTGAAGCAAACGAACGCCTAGCCACACTGAAGAGCTGTGCTACATCGAAACAATATATCTGTGCATGACTAACTCTCTCTCTCTCTCTCTCTCTCTATATATATATATATATATATATATATATATATATATATATATATATATAGTGGTACTCGCTTGGAAAAACCTTAGTTATTTCGGCTTGTAGTTGAACAAACCAATACCCATGGAAAAATGAAGAACTAAGAACATGAAATTGAGACGAAAACAATAATCCAGAATTCAAGCTCATAGTCGAAAGAAGAAAAAAAAAACATCCAAAACGAGTAAATTAGCTACATAAAATGCTCAATACATTAAGCAAACCTAATATAAACCTAAAGAGCCAGGTAAACTTACCTAGGTTTCACCTAAACGGATCTTCAGGATACAACTGGTCAAAGAGGTCCTCTTTGGACAGTCTGTACCCTGACGATCCGTTTAGGTGAAACCTAGGTAAGCTTTTAGGTTTGCTCTTTTAGGTTTATATATATATATATATATATATATATATATATATATATATATATATATATATATATATATAAAGAGAGAGAGAGAGGAGAAAAGAGGTAGTGATAGAACAGTGTTACGAAAAGTCATAAACATATGGATGTGTGTATATATATGTGCTTGTGGGTTTATTATTTGTGTGAGAATTTAGTTTATGTTTCTATTCTGATTACTCAGTATCAGATATATAGACATACTGATGTACTTATGTTCTAACACACGTGTTTGTTTGTATGCATCTGTGTATGTCTTGACACGTACATTGATTCTTATCAATTATGCCTTCAGGCTTAGATACATAGCCTTCATACACGCACAAATACACACACTCGCACATATTCACACTTAGGCACATGACTGGGTCTACGTATTCGTATCAATGTGTGTACGGACGCGTATTTAGATCGATGTGAATATCTAACGACATCGGTCTGTATCTCTCACAGATTGCAGATCGTCTTTCCTCATTGGCCGGCTTGTAAACTCTTTAGAATATAATGTTTTGACGTTGATTTAAGCTGATTTCTTTTGCTTAAGACTTTTGTGCATTAACTTATTATCTTCCTCGCTGTATTTTCTTCGCTCGTGTTTATTCACCTTCCGCCTACAGTACCACAAAGATGTCTTCCTCGTTTTCTCGCTACGTCTTAAGCGAAGTCATTCGTTATAGACTTTTATTCTCTTTTCTTATTTCTCCCTTTTTTATTTACTCTTTTTTTTTTCTGTCTTTCATCTGCATGTCATTGCCTTTCTTCTTTAAGCATCATCTGTTTGATTTACGTCTGGTTTTTCTGTTTTTCTTCCTTACTTCTTCGATTCTTTTCATTCAGTCGCGTTTTGATTGCATTCCTTTTCTTTCTTTTGTAATGCATTAATTTCCTTCTACCTTGCATCTCTTTACTTTTTCATTTACTCGAACTTTTTTCTTTCTTTTTGTTTTCTTTACATAATTACTATATCGTTTCTTTCTTTCGTGCTTACTTCTTTTGTTTTTATTATTTCTTTCTTTTTTTAATTGATTAACTCTTTCTTTTCCTTCTTTATTTTGTTCTTTCTTTCGTTCTTCTCAACTTGCCTACACTCTTTATTTCTTTTTCTTTTACACTGAATCTTTCTTTCTTTTTCTCTTATAGATTATTTTCCTTCTGCCTATCACATTGTTTTATTTCATTTACTCTTTTTCTTCCTTTCTTTCTTTACTTAATTACTTTTTTCTTTCTTTTCATTCATTTCTACTCATTTTGCATTTATTCTTTCTTTTTCTTTCCTTCTTTCTTTCATCCGTTCTTTCTTTCGTTCTTCTCTACTTGACTACACGCTTTATTTCTTTTTCTTTTATATTGAATCTTCTTTTCATTCTTTCTTTCTTTCTTTCTTTCTTTCTTTCTTTCTTTCTTTCCAAATACACGATTTTCCTTCTGCTTAACATATTATTTCTTTTTTATTTACTCCAAATCTTTTTTTCATTCTTTCTTTCTTTCTTTCTTTCTTTCTTTCTTTCTTTCTTTCTTTCTTTCTTTCTTTCTTTCCAAATACAGGACTTTATATTTTCTTTTACATTAAATATTCTTTCTTTCTTTCTTTCTTTCTTTCTTTCTTTCTTTCCTTTCTTTTTCCAAATATATTTATTTTTCATTTTTCTTTTACGTTTTTTCATTATTCTTTCTTTCTTTCTTTCTTTCTTTCTTTCTTTCTTTCTTTCCAAATACAGGACTTTATTTTTTCTTTTACGTTGAATATTCTTTCTTTCTTTCTTTCTTTCCAAATACAGGACTTTATTTTTTCTTTTACGTTGAATATTCTTTCTTTCTTTCTTTTTTTCTTTCCAAATACAGGGCTTTCCTTCTGCCTAATATATTTCTTTTTTTCATTTTCATTCATTCAATTCATTCATTCTTTCTTTCATTCTTTCTTTTTTTCTTTCTTTCTTTCTTTCTTTCTTTCTTTCTTTCCAAATACAGGACTTTATTTTTCTTTTACGTTGAATATTCTTTCTTTTTTTTTATTTCTTTCTTTTTTTCTTTTTAAATACAGGGCTTTCCATCTGCCTAACATATTTCTTTTTCATTTACTCCAACTCTTTTTCTTTCTTTCTTTCTTTCTTTCTTTCTTTCTTTCTTTCTTTCTACTATAATGGAATGTTCCACTCTCCCTATTACCTATTGTGGATTTTCTATATCAGTAATATATATCGTGCGCACAGGACATACAAGTGACTGTCTGTCTATCAGTCTGACTGGCTAGGATTGTTATTCTCTTGACTATCTACTGGACGAGTAGAGATTAATTTGTCCGTTGAAATTTTTATTTAATCCACCCAAAGTTTGCCTGCTTACAAATAGTTAAGTTTATTATTTTCATTTTGAACTTTTGAATTTCTCAGTTTTCTTTTTTAATTGTGTATTACTATTTTTATTTTGTCTATATTTCTGAGATGAGGTATTATGTACATTATTTACATTAATCGGACTATTGTCCTCATCTTTGTCGCCATATTTATTACAACGTATCGGCCGTTGTACGCTCCGGTTTTCTTCAGGTGGTTGGAATGTCGAACTGAACCCTTTATTTCGCTTTACTGGGGTAGACTGTTCTAATTCCATGTGCCATGTTTAATGGATGTTCGACATTCCAACCACCTGACGATGGTCAGAGCGTACAACAAACGAAACGTTATATATATATATATATATATATATATATATATATATATATATATATATATATATAAAAGAAATATAGTCTTAGGTGTGCTATATTTATGGGATAAAGTGCTCAATATCAGAGATAGAGCGTGTGTAAATATATATGGCCTGACGATTGCATATAGCATGAAACAGACTGTCGCCTCTAAGTATATATATATATATATATATATATATATATATATATATATATATATATATATATATATGGCGTTTTTACGTTGTTTCTTTTCTTTCTTAACTACTCTCGTTATTTCTTGTTCTTTTACATTTATGTTGTAGAGTAGTTTTCACTGTGGAGGCTTGTATTTCAATAAGTCGTCCTAAATTAGGTTCGACGTACAAAACGTTAGGAACTTGAAATAAGAGTTAATGACGCAGCAATCTAGTTGTGATGGTTGATATTCAATGTCCGACATCGACTGACTCGCTCAACACCACTGAGCTCAACTGGCGACCGCTACTACTACTACTACTACTACTTATTATGTGTTGGAGAGTCTATTACAATAGAATAGGTAATGTTCTGGTATAACAATTTACTTTAACTCTTCTTTTCTTCCTCCCTTTCTTTTCTAAATCCTTATTTTCCTTCTGTCTTACAACTTGTTTCTTTTTCCTTTCCCCTTTTTTTTCTTTAATTCGTTATTTACTTCATCGTTTCTATTCATTTACTTGTACTTATTTGGATTTATTCTTTCTTTCTTTCTTTTTTTACTTCTTTAATCTTTTCTTTCTTTTCTACTTTACAACACAATTTATTGCTTGCTCTTTCACCTTTGTCTTCATGATTCTCTACTTTCTTTCTTTTCTAATCCATCATTTTCCTTCTGTCTTACAACTAGTTTATTTTTTCTTTACGTCTTCTCTTTTTCTTCTTTCTTTCATCTTTCTTTCTTTCTTTTCTAATAAATTAGATTTCTTCTGTCTTGTATCATTACTTCTTTTTTATTCACTCCTATTCTTCTTTCTTTCTCTCTTTTTTTCTGTTTCCTTTCTTTGCTAATTTCCTTGTGTCTTACACTTGTTTCGTTATTCATTTACTCATATACTCTTTCTTTCTTTTTTTTCTTTCTTTCTTTTTTTCTTTTTTACTTTCTTTCTTTCTTTGCGGACAGGTTCCATTCATTTTACATACACACTCCTTTTCGCAGATATTTTTGTAACGATTTCTTTCCAGCGGAAATTGACTTTTAGAGGAGGCACAATGAATAGCGGCTGAGATTGAGAAATCGGAGAGCCGAGTTCGAATTCAAGTCGGAACCATTACATTCACTTACGTGCTTTTGGAAAGGCATGATGATTCCTCTTCCCCATTACCAGGTACTGTTCAATAGCAGTGCAGGCGAAAGTAACTCTGATTTAAAAAATGTATATATCCCTGGCGGTACACATAATATAAACAAAGGCTCGATGTTCCCGTCTACGGTCGAATAATGATATTTCTAGCCAGATTTTACATTCACTTTTGATGTCGTTTACAGTCAACACAAACAACTATTTATTTTGTTTTTCTTCGTTGAAACAAACGATTACTCTTTTGATATGTCCTCTGCGTAACCATATCGACATGAGCCTATCTACGATAGCTTTTTACTTCCTTTTCTGGTTCAATTATTTACCATGATTTTTGTATCATGCATTTCTTTTTCGTTTATTTTCACTGTTCAGGGAAATTTTAATTGGGCAAGGAATGGCTTGTAAATTTCAACGCCGCTAAAACATTTAATCAGCATAGAAAACCTGTTCTGGATTCCCTCACTAATGCTGATAATAAACCCCGTGTGAGCTACACTTTGCCCCTTCCTGGGTTCATATTTTCTACTTGAATGCATTGCCAGGTTTTCTGCTAGGAAAGTGGGATCCCTGTATCCGAATCCATCTTGCACGTTCGCCCGTGCATTGAATGTTTCTGGCTTGTTTGTCTAGTGCACCTACTATATATTTCCGAGTTATTAACAAAACCCATAGATCGGTCTCTTAAAGAAATCGATCCGGACCTGGCATCTCGTCTTCAGCGAGATTCCGTCCTCTGTGACGGGTTTCCCTTTGACATTACTACAAATATTTTCACGGGATTTTTCTCCTGAGTCTGCCTCCTTCTTTCCTTTCTTTTTATGTGCCATGTCCTTTCAGGACGTAGGCGATCCACCTCTCTCTATCCCTTGCAGCTCTCAAAATGTTCCATCCGTCTGCTTCCTCCCACAAACCATGTTCCGTCATCCAATTGCTTAAGCCCGCTAAGGTATGTCACGCTTGTTTTCCCTTGTCTCTCTTTCCCTCTATTCGATCCATGAGTTTCTAGATTCTTCTGGTCCTCCTTTCTCATTAACTGTCCCAGAAATTTCAGCTGCGTCTTCCTGATATTATTTGTAAGCTTTCTCTTTTGAATACTCTCCAAGATCTTGTCGTTGCTCACAGGCTCAGTCCACGAAATCCTCAGCATCCTTCTGTAGAATCACGATGCCTTGAGCCTTTTCTTCATCTTTGAGGAGACCGTTCTACATTTACTGCTTTAAAAGAGGACAGATATCACAGCTCAGTATTCTTTTCTTTGTTACCAAAGAAATCCTCCTGTATCGCAATGCTCTGTCCATGTTTTGGAATGCGTCCTTGGCCATTCCAATACGTCTACGGATCTCAGGGTCGCACTTACCGTCTTCTGTCAAAACGCTTCCCAGGTATTTATACTTCAGCATCTGCTTGATTCTACTGTTTCCGACTTGCAAATCTCAATTCAGGCTTATCGTCTTAAGGATTTCTTTTTTCCTTCATCTTTCTTTCTTTCTTTTCTAATAAATTAGATTTCTTCTGTTTTGTATCCTTAATTCTTTTTTATTCACTCCTATTCTTACTTTCTCTCTTTTTTCTTTTTCTGTTTCCTTTCTTTCGAATTTGCTAATTTCCTTGTGTCTTACACTTGTTTCGTTATTCATTTACTCATATACTCTTTCTTTCTTTCTTTCTTTCTTTTTTTCTTTCTTTCTTTCTTTGCGGACAGGTTTAATTCATTTTACATACACGCTCCTTTTCGCAGATATTTTTGTAACGATTTCTTTCCAGCGGGAAGTGAAATTTAGAGGAGGCACAATGAAGTATTGAATAGCGTCTGAGATTAAGGAATCGGAGAGCCGAGTTCGAATTCAAGTCAATGCATGGGCATTCTGTCGTCTTATAGTTTATTCTTAGTCCCTTCTTTTCACGCACCGTTGCTACCTTCTGTAGAAGATTTTGTATTTCATTAGGGACCTCTATTACATACATTTGAACGAACTACTAGATGAGCGTTTAGGGCTCTCCGTTTTAGTGTTAAATTAACTAGATAAAACTGTATGTTCTACTACGATATTTTATTTTCTCCTACTGTCGAACTCCCTCCCGCTTTCTTTCTTGTCTGTCCCCTATGATCTTCGAAAAATTAAATGCAACGCCAATCGCTATATATTGTCTTCTTCACAACCGTTCTTTTTTGTCCTTTCTCCTCAGTAAAGTATTCTCATTCTCGTTCACTTCAAGTTGCCACTTGCGTCTTCGCGGCTTTATCGCCATATCTGGGAGTAAACTGAATAAAAGAAGTCTTTTATTCATGAATTCACCTGCTGATATTTTCTTGTGAATTCTTTCTGGAGATTCAGTCAGCCAGTTAAATGCCATACGCGATACACGCTTGGCCGTTTATGTCGCTTTTTGATTCATGCCTGACTAGGCAGAGATTTTCTCGGTTCTTTCGACGGTAGAGCTGTTACCAACCAAGGCTATAGGACTCTGTCCCGTTATTCAGCTCTTAGCTAGGAGGAGAAGAGAAGGAATAGTACTTTTCTCGAGGATATCTCCTCGTAAGTGAATGTAATGAACCCGACTGGAATTCGAACTCGACACTTCAATTTCTCATTGCGAGCCGATATCCATGACACCATAACGAACATTCTGGAGATACAGTTGTGCGTTTTGTTTTTTTGGGTTTTTTTTAGGTCAGTAATTTTGACGATTTCCATGCCACATATATCCCTACTCTGATTTCGTTCTGACATCTCATTTGTGGGAACTGGATTGTAACCTAAAACTCTTGTCATCACCGAGCAGACTCTGAAATTTATTTATCTATGGCGAATGTCTTCATTTCCAATGTAGCTTCTTGTTTTGAAAGTTTATTCGAATTAAAGTACACTTCAGGCCTAAAGTGGAACTCATATATAAGATCATATATAAGGTCCATCAGGGAATGTGATAGAAAATGTTGTCGGCTCTTTATAACGCTCCAGAAAATACTGCTATGCTTGACCTATAAATGATTCAGATTAGTTCAAAAATAGACACCATCTGCCATGGGTTGGAGTTACCCAGCCCAGAACAGCCTTGGCCGATTTCAAAATCGCTTACGCGGCCATGTTGGAAATAACTTAATTAATAATCTGCAGTATTTTTTCCT